AAATCCGTTCCCTGCTTATAAGACATTTAGCAGTACTTGTTGAAGGCCCATCAATGTTGCTTGATATCCTACTTAACCATTTAGCGCCTGAAACTAAAAGCCGTTTTTGTCCGCTCCCTGGTTAGACAGACTTATGCAGCGTATTTGCTGCATTTAAAATGCAGCATTTAGCTCTTTCGAACATATTTTTTCGAAGAGCGTTCATGCTATCGCATTTAGCAAATGTAAACTTACGCGAGTTCGAAATCGTATGCTTTTGACAAACAGCCGTGTTCCAGTCGCTTATTCTAATCCGTATCTATTACGATCAATTCGCACAGGGAAGATAATGTTCAAAAGACCGTACTGAGAACGGAAATAGAAATTTTTAACAAAAAATTCTATACAAAAACTTGAATTGTTTTAGCCACGACCAAAATTTGTTTGTGTATAAATTCATTTGTCGGTGCTGTCAATTGAAATTTCCTCAATTAAATAGGAAATTTTTAACAGCGGCCAATTTTTGCGAAATTTTCACTTAACCTCAGAGGTTTATGATTCGATTGATTTAAAATTTATACACAATAAACTAGATTCTATTCTAAAGAAGATGAGTCTAACTGCACTTTTTAATACTTATTTAAAACGAAATGGCGGATATTTAAAAAATTTTATAAAAATTAAGGAGGTGGTTTTTACAAATGCAAAAGTTGTGTTTTGAAGTTTAAAATTTTTGTTTTGTTTTAATTCGGCATTAAAGACAGATATATACGGACATTTTGGGAAAGTTTCATGTTTAGAAAACAAGTAGGTCTAAAGCATGATAAAAATATAGTAAGGTATAACCACTGAGAGTCACTTTTAAATTTCTTGACGTTTCCAAACAATTTAATTTTTAAATTTTCTCACAAACTCACACACACATTCTCATTTTTAATCTCAAGCAATAACAATTTCGAACAATTTCAATTTTTTATTTTCACTTTTATATGGTTTTAAAATGTTGGCAAACTTCAAAAAAAAATCATGGCCGACAAATTGAGAGAACGGTTCTACCTTGCTATGTTTTTATCATGGTCTAAAGTTATAACAATATTAAGGTGACACCCACAAGCGGACGCAGATAACAACAAGCAGCGACAACAACAGGCAGCGTAAAAAACATAAAATTGAACTGAAGAAAAGCGATTCAAACGAATTGTTATCGATAGCTTATTCAAAAATACATTTAAAGTTAATTTTAACCAAGTTTTACTCATGCCTTTACGTCGAAAAAGCCACAAAACCTGATTTTTTACAGCGACCAATTGTTGCGATATTTTCATTTCAACTCACTATATCTCAGACGTTTGTGTATCAATTGATTTGAAATTTGTACTTAATAAACTAGATTCTATTCTAAAGAGGACGCGTTTAACTAAACTTCTTAATACTTATTAAGAACAAAATGGCGGCTATTTTATCTTTTTTATTAAAATTAAGGAGGTGGTTTTTACAAATGCAAAAGTTGTGGTATGAAGTTTAAAGTTTTTGTTTTGTTTTAATGCAGCATTATAGACAAATATATACGGAAATTTTGGGAAAGCTTCATGTTTAGAGAACAAGTAGTTCTAAAGTCATAACAATATTATGGTGACATGCACGAGCGGGTGCTCGCTTCTAGATGACAAATATTTTTACATAGCACTTGTACAAGTAATTTTGGAAGTAATATTAAGTGAAATGTTGAAATTTATAAATTTATCAGTATAATATAACTTAGCTCTTTGTTATAAATTTAATAGACATACTTACATACCTATATATGTATGTATGCATATAACTACACACATAGAGAAAATAGTTATATATATTTTAGAAAAAATTTAGTATGCAGTGTTGCAGCTCATTCAATTTCAGTGAATAGAATGCAAGCTTTTTTAGAATTTGATTCTCAAGGGTGTTGCATATTTTCTTCCATGAACATAATGTAGTTTTGCATGGAAGAAAACCTTCAACACCATTGAGAAAAAAATATCAAAAATCAACGCAATTTTTAGCGACTTGAAACTTACACTTTGTAGCACTGAAATTGAATGAGCTTCAAAAACCATGATTCAATAATAAATGGTTTGCTCAAAAAACAGTTTTCTCGCTCCCTCTTGACGAAATCGGTTCCCTTAGCAAGGCACTGTGTGTGGGTTCGTGTGTGTGTGCAAAGCTTTTGTAAGGGAGCTAAGGGAGTGTCAAAACTCTAATGTCACTAATGAGCAAACCTTTAATTATTGAATCATCCCTGCCAGCCAAAAGTGGTGAAAAATCTGGTGAAACCGCGGGTTTCGTTCACTTCAAAACTGGTGAAAAATCTGGTGAACTTTTTATGGGCGGTGTGCAGATTTTCACCAGTTTCCCCCTGTACGTGTGAGCCTTGCATCACTGTCGCACTCATTCAGATACTTCCTAAGGAAATCATATAGCTGCACTCGTCTAGCATTGCCCCTTTCAGCCGGCGCAGGGTTGCATTTTCTTCACAGCGAATTCAAATTAACCTTAGAAACTTTAAATAAAAAATCCAAAAAATTTTTGATTTTTATTTTGCAAAATTTATTTTCAAAATGCATTGATTACCTAATATACATAGCTAATAATCAATATTATGAATAAAAATTGTAATTACATAGCTAATAATCAATATTATGAATAAAAATTGTAATTAACATTAATAAATATATTTTTACATACATATGTGGTTGCTTAATTTCTTATTATTAGTATTACTTATTTGCACATAGATGATTTCAAAAGTTGAAAAATTTCTATAAAAAAGTTAAGCGATTTTAACAATATAATAATCAAAAGAAAGGTAATCGATTTACCTTTTGATATCAGTTGCAAATAATTTATAGTGGTCCACAAAAATTCAGTTTTATCACTACTTTGCAAAATTTGACACTTTTTCACTGCTTACATATAGATGTTTACAAAAGTTACAAAATTTCTATAAAATATTTAAGCGATTTTAACAAAAGTATAATCAAAAGAAAGGTAATCGATTTACCTTTCTTTTGACATATATTAACAGTTGCAAATAATTTATAGTGGTCCACAAAAATTCAGTTTTATCACTAGTTTGCAAAATTTGACACTTTTTCACTGCTTACATATAGATGTTTACAAAAGTTGCAAAATGTCTATAAAATATTTAAGCGATTTTAACAACATTACAATCAAAAGAAAGGTAATCGATTTACCCTTCTTTTGAAATATATTAACAGTTGCAAATCATTTACATTGGTTCACAAAAATTCAGTTATATTACAACTTTGCAAAATTTTACGACTTTTTCACTGCTTAAATATAGATGTTTACAAAAGTTGCAAAATTTCTATAAAATATTTAAGCGATTTTTACAACATTACAATCAAATGAAAGGTAATCGATTTACCCTTCTTTTGATATATATTAACAGTTGCAAATCATTTACATTGGTTCACAAAAAATCGGTTTCGTTACAACTTTGCAAAATTTGATTGCGTTTTTACGACTTATATATAGATCTTTTGAAAAGTTGATTTCAAGTAACTGCTGGCGTTTGTCGGACACTTCATATTAAATTGGCAGAATCACCGAACACCATTTACTGCTCCTATGATGACTGCAAACAAATCAAACAATTATAAGTATGCAAAATTGAAGTGCATTAGTAATTAAACAACTACCTCCACTGAATTGAGACGTTTGTAGGCATCTTTCCCTTCATCTTTGTTATCATCTTTCCCATGCAGCATTTTCCAATGGCTATGGGCAACATCCAATGACTCTCCGATAGAAACAATCTAAACGAAAAATTAAAAAAATTTTAATAACTAAAAATAAATAATTTATGTATTAAAATATATATATTTGTTTAAATGTAGCTGCCGATGCTTCAAGACGTCTTTTGTACAGCAACCTTAAATTGAAATAAAATGGTTAAATTATTGTTGTGGATGCAACCAGTTAGATTCTATCTCAAAAATAAAGTAATAAATTATTATTTCGACAATGAAATATAATTCATAATTAACGGATTTTATTTATACAAAAAGCAGACGACTATAGTTAAATTACAAATTAGTTTATTTAGATAAAATCATGCTCATATTTTCAAGAATTTATTAATTAAGTTAATCGAATACCAATTTAAATATTTAAAAGAAAGTTTAAAAAGTATATTAATATTTTAAAAAGGAACAGAAATGGTAAGGAAGTTTAAAATATACAAAATTACATAACACATTCAAGAAGCAAATATCATGTTAGAAAAGTAAATAAATGTAGTATTTATTATTTTTGGAATTTTTTTTAGTATTTACATAACAAGCACATAGAAAATAAAAAGAAAATAAGTACTTATTATTTTTGGAATCTTTTTTTTAGTATTTACATTAACGAAGCTCATAGCAAATAAAAAGAAAGTAATGTAAATATTTATTTAGCTTTTTAATATTTACATTTAATAAATACAGTGCTGGAAATAACCTCATAACCAGGCAAGCGTGAACAACCCAATTCTTTTTGTTGTTATTTAATTTTATTTATTTTCTAATAAAAATATAGTTCACTCTTTAACAAAATCCGTTTCAAACTTTGTACAATATTAAAAAAAATTCAACAAACTTTTGAAAAAATTTCTAGCTTTTTTAATATTGTACAAAGTTTGAAACGGATTTTGTTAAAGAGTGAACTATATTTTTATAAGAAAATAAACAAAATTAAATAACAACAAAAATAATATGTTAAAACTTGTCGAAATATGGTGCGGCTATAACTACTTCGACCACTGTACATTAATATTTACAGCTATTTATTTTTTTTTTAATATTTACATTTACGAATCAATTATATAGTGTGCTTCCCAATTATACATCACCCACTTATTGACAAGTTTTGACCAATAATATATTTATTATTTAATTTTTATAATTCTTTTATGAAAAATATAGTTCATTCTTTAACAAACACCATATCGGCAGCCGGTTCGAAAGCGCCCATTCTCAGAATTCGGTTGAAGAAAACTATACTCGTTCTTGAGCAGAACTGTAACTTACCATAGCGTCAGCGTATGCCTTGTTTTGAAGGTGCTCCTCCACCTTATGCAGTGTTTCCTCCGATGACATTGGCAGCAAACTTTGCAGTAAAGTTTGCTCTTCGCTTACCAAGTCACCGGTGGTGATTCGGCTTACACTGCGGTGGGTTTTCACAGAGAGCACCTTACATTCACGCAGCAGTTGACCCTGCGCTTGAACCTCACAACGCTCGGGCATCTGAAAATGAAATAAAGCTTAAAACAAAGTTAAACATTAGTTAAATTTAAAACACCTACCTTCTCGGCAAGGGCGCTTTCTACGGCGGAAAGCCTTTTCAATATTTTCTCTTGTCGAGTCTCCATTCTTCCAAGGGCAGAAAATATTTGTTGTAGCGCTGTTGAATTTCATAAAATTTAAGTGTAAATTAAAAATACAATCAATATATGTATGTTGTTTATTTAATATACCTGAGTCATTATCCACGGCAGGTTGGGTGGCCGTACGGTCGAGGAAAGGCTGGGACACGTCGAAACGGCGAGATACTCCAGCTACAATGAGAACGTTTCAATTAGGATAGTGTCACTAATATAATGAATACTGATTCTTCTTACCATTTGCCTGACTGATATCCGGCTCCTCCTCTCCATCAATAATAAAACTGAATTCCATTTCTTTTTAAGTAAAATTATAAAATAAGTTATGTAACAAGGAATTAAAATAAATTTATTCCCTACTGGAATAGCAAAATACTTATGGTCTATATCTTCTCTCTTAATAATTTGAATGTCTTAATCTATAATTTGAGCTACAAAAATACCTAAATCAGATGAGGACACCACGGGCTCCCTAAAAATGTCCCCAACCTTTGTTAAAACTACAACGCCAAAACTGTCTGTTTGGGTTTGTTGGTTGACAATTTTTAGGGATCCCGTTTTTTTACTAAAGAAAAAACTATCTTTTTCTTTTTTACAATTTATAATAAACTTATCTATTTGTGAAATTTTGCTAGAATCCGTAATATCTCTTCGTTCTTCTATTCTTAAAAATAATTGCTGCAATATTTTATTTGGATTATTAATAATTTTTTTATATATTGCATATAATTTTCGAATTTATATGCAGAAAAATTGTCTAAAGGACCAAATTGTTTAACGCAATCACTTAAATGCAAAAGACCATGGACATTAAAACTGATTAAATGTTCGCCGTAAAAATTACTAAACAACTTTACAAATTCTTTTAACATTTCATTAGCGACATTAGATTCTACTTGACAAGACTTCTCACAAGAGAGAAGGCGAATACCGACATGCAACAAAAGAAAATGGTAATACAAGTTATCCGGTATACAGTCTTTCAAAACAAACAACCCCTAGTACAATAAAAATTGCCGGTATTCTGTCGACTTCCAGTTGCTTATTTCACGCAGATCTCGACTGAGTCTGGAAAATTCAGAGGGAACGAACTTATTCAGAAATAATATTTTTTCATTCATCTTTGTTACGTTCCCTCTTTTAATAAGCAACTGGAGTAGTTTTTTAGTTACTCCTAAATCAACTAAATGCATGGGTTCTAACGGAAATTGAGAAACCATGCCAATATTTACAGATTCTAGCAAGATTTCACACTGTCTAAATTCGTCTAAATGATGTGTTATATCTACTCTATTTTTAAACGAACTATCTGTTCTTAATTCTCCAACGTTTTGAGAAAAACAGACCCTTCTTTGTAAATACTGTCCTTGTTGAGACATTTAGGACAGCTGTTTTTCCCAGTGTGTGACTTAACGCCAGTTATAAAGGCGCGAGCTGGTGTGTCACATGTGAAAAGTCTTACACTAAATTCTTTTAAAACCTGCTTAGATCCCACCCTTACACCATTCTGACTGAGAATTTTTATCTCTTCGCAAAACTCAGCAAGGAAATTATTAACATCGGATGGTTTACTCATTCCTGAGAAGCAGCAATAGTAAATGTGACCGAATTAGGAAAAGCTTCTACATGCCCCAAAATGGGCCACAATGCCCTATTAGAGCTTTTAAATAATTTCAAACCATCTATACCGAAATCTACTGAAATTCTTTCCGTATTTTCTAAAAAATCAAAATCTTTGAAATTAAAATTATATTGTATTCCTAAATACAAACATTCACCTTCAGGAAAAGGTCGAATTTGAACTATTTTTCTACTTGTACCCAAAATGGTTCTTGCAGTTAAAGGTAACCCGTTAAGTCCAGCATTATGTAAGGTTTGTAGGAGGTCCGTTAGGCTATTTTGGGAAATATTATTTTTGATTGCCCACGTTTTTAACCCCCTACAAATTTCCTCGCTTAGGTTTTTGTTTGCAGATTCTTCTGTGCTATCATCGCTTTCGACATCTTCAAACAAAAACCTGTCATCATCGCTATTATATTCATCGATATCTAATTCAGGAAACTCTTCCATAGTGCTGGACGTTAGATCACTATTTATTCCGCGGCAAAATGCTTCTCTACTCGTGGATGGAATATCATCGCTTTCTAACCCAGAAGTCGATTCATTCAGTTTGCGAAACTTCGCAACTGTTGCTTTATAATAAGCTTTTTCCTTACTTATAAGGTTAGAAAGCGTTCTTTTATGTATACCGTAATAAATAATGGTGTAAAGGTACGATCTAATAATAATTCTATTAATAATGATAATAATAGCAATTAAAGTAGTAATAAAAATAATAATATTATAATACTATTATTATAATATTATTATTATATTAGATATTATAATAATAAAATTAATAACAGATAAAATTTATATATATATCTAATCTCCGCTGACTTCTACTGTCTGTATTCCACGACCTGCAAAGAAAATATAAAAATAAAATTTGATAAAAAATAATATATAATAAAAAATATCGCAACAAAACCAAAAAAACACTTCATGGAAACGTCTATATATTATGGCCATAGGCAAGTGTATCCACATATCGTCGTTTAAAGTACAAAACCGCGTATCAAGATAATGCAAAACCGCGTATGTGAGGTTGCATAAATTATATTCCAGAGCGTAAAAACTCTCATATGTCAAAATGGTTTTCTTTTTTGTAAAGCAATCGCATTTCTGGCTAGTATATTTCAGAACGAATGGATAAGGCTTGAGCCAAGAGCTATTGTTAGCTAATCCAATTTTTGGCAAAAAAGGTAATTTACGCGGCTTTGCAGAGCGACGATACGCGGTTTTGTACTTTAAACGGCGATATGTAGCTCTACATATTGTGCCGTATGTATGCTAATTGTACATACATATGTTGCACATATCGTACCTAGACGAAAAGAAAAACTTATTTCCAAAACGCGTTAAGTCCAAAATAGCACCCCCATTACATGCTAATTGTATGTTGCACATATGTACATATCGTCGCTGGAATAATGAAATAGTGTAACATGAAAAGTACAGTTTTGAGAAAAACGAATTGGAAGTTTTTATAAACCATTACAAACCATACAAATACAATTTGGTTTTTCGGGAATAAATTAGTGAGCCAAAGAGATATTTAAGAAAACTAAACATTTTTCAAATAGATTGAAGGATTGTCTATCCAATAGTGCAATTATCGAGTAAAAGTGTATTTGGCATTTACACTGTTTCTTTATTCGAGCGACGATATATATATACATATTTCCACTGCACTTTCCTCTTTTTACCTACATACGTATGTACACATGTACGTCGTTGCAGCTGCGCTTTGTACAAAGGTACTTGCACTTCACTTTCTTTTGTTTAACTGCATACATATCTACACACTTATGCAGTTGCAACTATTTCCACACATATGTATGTATACAATGTAGGTACCCAGCCAGCATTTGGTCGATGCAACTACAACAACTGATGCAAATGCAGCGGATGCAAATATTGTTCCTGACCGAAAATGTCTGTTTTTAAAAACGCATCAATTCTTGAGTGTACAACCGTGAAATGATAATTTATACAATTTACATTCAATTCAGTTGGCACAAATTAAGCAAATTTGCTGGTAATTGGAATTAAAAGAAACTGATGTTTTATATTGTTGCGCTTAGGAAAACAGACATTCTACTGCACTTTTCCCATTTATTGCACCACACTTATTGCTGTTTACATATGTACCTAGTTGCACTTTTAACATACATATGTACATACATATTTGCATTGCACTTCCTTCTTTTTACTTACATAATAAGTACATTTAGTTACTAATACTTTATTTTTTGTTTATATACATACATGTGACCACATTTATGTAGTTGTAGCCAAAGCTGGCATTCTGTTGCACTTTTCACAGCACTTTCTGTTTACATATGTATATATCTACGTGTCGGCAGTGATACTGCAAACTTTAATTAAATAATCCCTCACCCGTACCTTACCGAAAAAGGAATACATTTTCGTCACGAGTTTAATAGATTATAAATTTTGGCACTCCGGTGAGGGTAACAAATCAGTGCCAGAGGTAATAATTTCTGCAGAGTTTTGCAGTAACACCGACGACATAAACACAAGTAAGTACATACATACATATGGATTTAGTTGCGTCTGGAGCAACCGCGTTTCTTAATAGTTATTTAAACCAACGTATTTTATATTTATATATATTTAAACTCACCGAACAATGGAGCTGGAATGTTGTAGGGTTGAGAGTTGTTGGCGACCAATGGCGTTGAATGTGCTGTGGGCGTCGTTGCTGATGTTTGGCAATCTAAAAGAAATAATTACATTATAATCAAATGAAACTGTTAACAATGGTTAAAAGCTGACTTCCAAGTTGGTATATTGCAAAGCATCAGCCTCGTTTATTTATAAACTATAACTGATGGAAATGACCAATTTGCCCAACTAAGTTCCAATTCGGCGTTTGAACATGGTTGCGCTTATTGCACTTTTCCATTAGTTATATTTAGTTTAGAAATAAAAAAGGCTAATGCTTTGCAATATACCAACCTGGAACTCAGCCAAACTATGTTAAATTGGGAAACTTTAGTCTTCTTACCTTCAAGGTTCTGATGGCTTAAGTCTCCTGCTGATGTTTGGCTATCTATGGATATATAAAATATACATATATGTATTTAATAAAAGAAAAATTACATTTAATCAAATTAAATTGCTTCTTACCTCCAAAATTTTGCGCGAAATTGATGTTTTTCTCCGCAGCCTACTAGAATCAAATTTGAAATTCGCTGTCAAATTTCGCCTGATTTTCACTTGCTCGCTCTAACGCATATAATTCTTATTAAGAGTGCGAATTCTTATAGCTACGCTGCTCTTACTTATGGAAACTTTTTTCGACAACTTTTGAGTGTGTGGGTGAGATGACAAAAAAGTTGGGTATGTGTTGGTAAATCATTTGAATTTCAGGGGAAAGTGGTGAGCCGTTGCTGGCAGGGATGCTTCAAAACTACGTACTCAATTTTTTTTCCAAAAAATCTGAATCAAAAGTTTGAAATATACATAAATGAAAATTTTTAGAATTTTTTAAGTTTTGCAAAAATTTGAAAATTTAATTCGTATGGTTTTTGTTAAAATATGAACAATATTTTCGTGAAAAATTACCGAAGAACAATCACTGTACGAATAACTATTTTGACTATGTATGCAGTTACATGCATACATATGTAGCTTTTTTTTTTATATAAGGAGAAAGCATCGAAAGCCTGTATCCCGTAGTATGGAACTTGAATCCGAAC